TTCATGTTGCCTTAGCAACGCAGACGATTTTTGAAAAGACAGCTGCGTTGGAAGGTTAACAATAGAACAGCGCGTGCATTTAATACCTAATATATAAATATCTCGTAATTGCTGTTGCCATCCACAAAAATCCAGATATTTATAGATGTTTCCAGTATATTCGAGAAAATAATTATAAAGCTTTTAAAAGCCGAGAACAAACAACTCATCTCAGTAGTAGCTGTAGTTCTAGCGAATTGTTTGTTTACTTAATGCTGTGATTGATTTGTAGCGATTTCGCTGTGAGATAGAATTAGTTTCTCTGTTTTGAATTGATTTTTGCTAAACGTTTGACATTTTGTGATATTGTTAGAATATTTTTGAAGAAATATTTCAGCATTTTGATTTATCTCTTGCGGAGAGGATAAATGTTTGTTAACTTTTTAACGTTAACCGTGTTTATTCCAGCCCTTTGTATTCAGTATGTCTATATCAAAACCAAGTGGTAGTAAAATTAAACGAAAAATCGCTGACGAACATAAAATATTCCAAGTAAAATGGGAATTAGAATATTTTTGCTGTGAAATAAAAGATAAAATAATCTGCTTGATATGTAATAATACTATTAATGTACCAAAGTTATATAATATTAAACGTCATTACGAACAACACAAATCGAAGTATAACAATTACGAAGGATTAATGAGAGAAGAAAAGTTGAAAGAGCTAAGTTGGGAGTGAAATAGCAACAGTCCATGTTTAGTAAAGTATTGCAAGAAAGTGAAGCGGCGGTACATGCAAGCTACGTCTTGTCCGAGTTGATAGCTAAACATTGGAAGCCTTTTACTGACGATGATTTCATCAAGGAATGCCTAATGAAAGCTGGAGAAATTGTTTGTCCTGGAAATGTGAAGGCTTTTCAATCAATTTCATTGTCTCGAAATACAGTTGCGGAAAGAGTTACTGATTTAGCCGCGAATTTAAGTGATCAGATTAAAGCAAAATCATCTAGTTTCGAAAGTTTCTCCATTGCCTGTGACGAGAGCACGGACATTAGTGGCAAAGCTCAATTAGAAGTGTTTTTTCGTTCTTGTGACAAGAATTTTAACATTTTTGAGGAATTACTGGAACTAATACCGATGCCTGGTACTACCACAGGAGAAGATATATTTACTTGTGTTTTTGGACTTTTGCAGAAATACAATCTACCTTTGGCAAAATTAAATTCTGTAGCTACAGATGGCGCTCCATCAATGACCGGGAAAAACAAGGGCTTCGTAGCATTACTAAGAAAAAAACTTAGTGAAATTCACGGTTCAAACATTCATCATATGCATTGTATTATACATCAAGAAGTTCTATGCACGAAAGTAATAAATATGGATATATAAATTTTGTCATATATAAAAAAAGTTATAAATTTTATAAGATCTCGAGGTTAAATCAGCGTCAATTCACTGCTTTCTTAAGTGAGTGAGTTAGTGAATATTCGGGTTTGTCCTACTATACCGAGGTACGTTGGTTATCTTGCTCCAAGATTTTCAAACAATTCTGGGATTTGAAAGAAGAAATATGTCAGTTTTTAAAAGCGAAAAATCAAGACGTAAGTTTGTTTTACGATCCAATATGGATACAAGATTTATCTTTCTTGGTTGATATAACCAAACACTTAACCGATTTAAATTTATCGTTACAAGGAAAAGATCATATCATTACGAACATGTTTGACATAATTAAAGCATTCAAATGTCAACTAGTTCTTTGGGAAAAACAACTTAAAAATGAAGATTTGACGCACTTCCCGACGTGCAGCGTGAAGAAATCAAGTTTAGACGATACTTGTTCGTATCAAAAATACGCAGAAAAATTGCAAATTTAACAACTGAATTTGAAACGAGGTTTAATGATTTTAGTTCCCTCGATTTTTTTGTTTTCTTCGATTTTCTCAATAAGTATTGACTCAGTACCCAGCCATATGCAAATGGAGGTGATCGAGATTCAATGCAACTCAAATTTCAAAGCAAAATTCATTGAAGTGGGCGTGCCTGAATTTTACAAATATTTACCAGCCAGGTTTGAAAATACTCGAAAATTCGCATATGAAATTATTTCCATGTTTGGTAGCACTTATCGGTGCGAGCAGTTATTTTCAGTCATGAAAGGTAATAAGTCTCCTATTAGAAACCGTATTAATGATGCTCACCTTGGGTCAGCGTTGAAAGTTATCACTGCAACCAAAAATTTCTCCCGAAAAATAGGAAAGATAATAGCAGAGAAGAGATGTCAAGTATCAGGACGTAAACATTAAATTTTTTCTGTTCTTTCTATAAAAATATATATATATGTTTATTATTGTATTATTCGAAATAAATCTACGTTTTTATGAATATTGATTTTTTTTTTTTTTTTCGGCCCGCCTAAAGTTAAACCTTGTTTGTTTGGCCCAAGTGTACCTATGAGTTTGACATCCTTGTTTTAAGGCATTGTCTGTGGACTTTTCTGCGCAGAAGCCATATTGTTTTTCGTTTATAGACTTGTTCCTGTACATGTGGAAATTAAGGCGTTGTAGAATTACTTTTTCTAAAATCTTACTGATTGAATGCAGTAAGCTTATAGCATACGGCCAGCATGAATATTTTCGTATACTCGTGGCCATATGCACCTATATGATGCCGGGTCTGACGGGTCTTTTCCCTGCTTGTGAAAGAGTGCAATTTCGGCTAGTTTTATGCTTCTAGGGAAGTGGCCGAGTCGCCAGCAGGCTCTGCATAGTTTTGGAAACAAACCTGGGAATTCTTTGTGAATTTCTTTCATGATGGTATTATCTATGCCATCGGGACCTGGTGCTTTTTTGTCTGCCAAGGCTTTGATGATATTATGAACTTCGTGGTCTGTAAGAAGAGTAATATCTCTGTTGCTGCTTTTCTAGCCTTTCCTATTAAACTTCTGCTTTATTTCTGTGTGAGTTACTAAATCAAATTCCATCTTGTATTTAACAAAGATTGTTTCTAGGATAGTGTTTAGAGCTTCTGCTTTGCTTTTTGCATCTTGTTTTACTTTAGTGGTAAGTTGTAGGGGTTAAAAAATCTTATTGGTGGCTATTTTCTGTAATGTACCATAGGTTGCTTGCACGTTACTGCAGTGCTTACGCCATACTCTTGTTTCGCGCTTGATTTGTTTTTTTGTATTGAGCAGTTCCTTCCTGAGCGTCAAGTTTAATGTTTTCGTTCTTCATCATTCTCCGCTTACACCTGTCTTCAGGGATTTTGCTTCTTTTTTTGAGGTGGTGTTTTCCTAATAGTTTTAAGTTTGTAGGAAGCTTTTGCTGCCTGAGTTAATTTAGTTATGATGGAGTCATATGTAGTATATAGTATCCAGCTCCTTGGAACACTGTTATCTTGGAACAACTGGATAAGTCGCAGTTATCCAGTTGTTCCAAGATTTCACTCACCCATGGCCAGAGGTAAAATTTTAAAGTATTCTGCCTGTATATCCAGTTGTCCAAGTTTTCAAATGGCCAGAGGTAATATTTTAAAGTATTGTGCCCTCCGAAGCAGGTCTTGAAACGTCTTTTTGTTAGGTACGTGAGTCTACTATTGATCTCATATTCAATTATATGATGGTCACTCAGAGAGGGTATGTCCATTATCTCCCAGTTGTTTATGTACACGGTTACTGATGATGAGACAAATGTGACATCTAGCCAGCCTTTTGCTCTTCCATTGTCGAATGTTGGTTGAGTTTTCTTTATTTATTACTGCCAGTCCGTGAGCTATCGCATATTCTAACAGTTTCTGCGCTCTGCGATTTTCTGTTTGTGCTCCCCATAAGGGGCTGGTGGCGTTAAAGTCACCAGCCACTATGGTATTCTGGAATGTTTGTAGTAAGGCTGGGTTCATTCTGTTTCTATACTGTGTTTTTGTTGTCACATACGTTGAGAAAGAATTTTCACTTAAACGCGTTGTTCAGAATGGCATAAAAGTGTATACAGCTGTGTGAAAAACTTCTGTATATTTTGCATGAAGCTGGAAACAAAACTTTAGGAGCTGTTCTTGCTTAAATTTAGATTTTAACGTCGATTCTGTTGACATGTCGATAAATTATTCCATTCCTTTATTGGTAAGCCTTCTGTTTACCGTAGTACTCGAACGGAGTTTTAGTTAATAAACTCTAGTCAATGAGTATGAGTGCTTTATAATTTTCTTTTCGAATTTTTATTTTAACTCAAACCCCAGGGTTGGCGGAACACAGTTTAAGATCCCGCAGTAACACATTAGACACTTTGAAGAGCTTTTATGTATATTTACGAATTTAAGAAGTTCTTCTTTTTTTTTATGAAAGTTAGCTAAATGATTAGGGTAAAGTTCTAGATGATAATTTGGAAAGATATCCTCTTCCAAAATATTTTATAGAAAATTGGCCATGGAACAGCCCCCAACCCCACCACAAAAAAAAAAAAAAAAAAAAAAAAAAAAAAATTGGAGAGAGCTTACGAAAATATTCATGCTGGCCGTATGCACCTCTGCTGAGTACTCATAACGCAGCTACTAATATTTTATAGTTTTAGCTATTAGGAAACTGATGAGTTCTAATACAGAAACGATTAATGTTGATAAAAGGAGAATAATTCAGAAGGCGTCTTTGCTTGTTTGTTAAGTTGTTAGTAAAAGTCTGTTAATATTAAGCATAGAATTTTAAATCTGCTTTCCATAATTTGTATTAAATACAATTAAAAGTTATGCTATTTGAAACTTATTTACTCAAAAATATTAGAACCACAACTTTGCTCTAAGATACTGTGATATATGTGCCTAAGAAACACCCATTGTCTCGTAAATACTCATTTAGTAAAACCACATAATTTAAACTGAAATAACTATTCAGTTCTGGGATTGTAGTATGTGTTGTTCTTCACTGATATTTCAGCCACAAATAGGCTATTTTTGTTATCAATTATTATGATAAGCTAACAAACACTGTTAGGCATATGTATCTGCAAACTAAGAATATGAACAGCTTACCTTTCATTGAAGTAGTGACAGTCGTGATATCACTGGGTTCACCATTTCCATACTGATTAGAAGCAGTTATGAAAATTTTATATGCTGTAGAACTTTCCAAGCCAGTGATTGTGAAACGGTTCTTGCTGCTAGATGCTATGATTGGAATATGAAACCATTCACCTCCTTCTTTCTTGTAGTGCAAAGTATAACCTAATAGTAAGAAAGGACTATATTATTATAACCTGCTATAAGTAAAGAATTATGCCAACATAGAATTTTTATTCTTTTTAGCTAAATGATAGAGAACTAAAGACCCTATTGTCATTCATATATTAAATGCCTTCAGATTTAAATTAAAACTATTCAGTACGAATACTTTTACGTTATTGATTACTGCTTAATATTTTAAACTTGTGGAGTCGAAGCAGGAGACATGAAGAAATCCGCACTGCTCTCGCCGGGATTTGAACACTGTAATTCCCGATTGCTAGTTGGACGTTCTATCGAGTTACACAACGAAAGGCATTTTAACGGACGACTGGAAATGAAGGGACCCAGTCAGAAAATCCTGGTGATCACGAATTATTTATTGTCCATCGGCTTTTAGTTCGGGCGCCACTTGTAGAGTCACTAAGTTTATGGATGCATGAAACACGAAGAAATTCGCAATGTTCTCGCTGGGATTCGAACAGCAGACCTCCTGATTGCAGGATGTGCTATCCAAGTACACCACAAAGGCACGCGGAAAGGAGGGAGAAAATGCCTTATTTTTATTCACAAGTTATGTTATACATCATTTTATATTAATTGTAGACAAAGTAATATTCCAGAATACTTAAGTAAAAAAAAAATTAGGTCTATTGCACAGAAAATATTTTGATATGCATATTTATTAGAATTAACATTTATTCTTAAAAATTGCACCGTACACAAAATTATGGTCACACAATTCTGACATAGTCCTGCTTCCTCAGAAGCAAAAATTTGGTTAAAAATTTTTTCGCTCCTAAAGAACAGAGACCTGGGCCTAACCGGCCTCGAAATCGATAGAGTTTTATTTAAGATCCAGGTCAAACCAAGGTCGCCTTTTTGCCTGTTTGAATTACACTAAGTTATAATATCAGTTTTTATAGGTTTATAGTTTCAGTAACATTATAAACTATAATTCAATGACAAATAAAAATTGTACTAATTTTGAAAGCTTATAACTTCGTATTCGAAATTATGATTGCAGTTAATAATGCCCGGGAACACAGAATTTTTGAATAATAACTTTTTTCCCATAACTTATTATACTTTCTCAGTATGTATCCTAATTAGATTTTTAAAATAAATTTGGAAAAATTTTAAGCAAGGCGTTGTATCACACGAAAGCAGAAATCAATCCTATAGCATTAACAGGTGCATAATTTTTATACTTAAGAGAACTTCTTTCTACCTGTAACAGGAATATTCCTAGATGGAGGATCTCCCCATCTCAGACTTATTTTAGATTCGGAGGCTGCAACAACGGTAAAAGCTGGAGCCCCTGGAACATCTGGAACGAAATTAAATTAAATTGACACACATTTGTAAAATTAAAAAGTAGCACAGTATATTCATTACAAATATATCATTAGAAATTTCCCTCTATTTTCAAAATGTTAATTCAGCTGCACAAAGTTAAAGCCAGTGTAAAGAATTTTGAAATTCAGAATGAAACTAGTACAATTTAAACGGAAAATTTTAGTACTTCTGAGTTTAATTTAACGTTTTCTTATTCAACTACAGCGTATGGTGATCCAATTAAACAGGGACAGTCAAAATCAAAGCGGAGGCCAGAAACAAATTTTGCTTCACAACTCCAAAACCTTAGTTTAAAAACTATCTAAGTGATTTTCATTCTGATGAGGAAACGGAAAGGGAAAATTATAGCAAAGGCTGAAATTATAAACAACTGTTTAATTTACATAATAATAACTGCACATATCTTTGAAGAATAATTTTCCTTCTCTTTACGTATTCGATTTCTTTCTTCAATACGTTTCCTCTTCATTTCAGAATTTTTGGATTTAATTAAAGATTTCTGTTATCCTAAAAAACTAAATGCATTTAGAAGGTATAGGAAAAGGTGATAATTTTATTTCTTATATGAATATTCAGAATAAATATGAAATGATAATATGGTAAGGGTCAGTTACAGAGCCAGTGTAGCAGAATTTTTTGAATTTAGTAAAATACCAAGCAACAAAATCTAGAAATGGCAAAATTTTAGAATTTAGGAAGGTACTAGGCAGCAGAATTTGGGGCCCACAGAGATTGCATCAGCTGGAAAAATGCGTAGTGCATTACGTTTTTAAAAAATAATATGGATCAGTATACATATATAAATATTCTTAATGAAAACCTGAAAGCACCTGGAAGAAAATTTGGAATGCGTTCTATCAGGATAAACGATTCTAAACGTACTGCCGTAAATTTTCTCTTGGGATACAGCTGCCCTGAAGTTATCGAAACTCCTCCATATACTTCGGATTTAAATCCTATCGAACATGTGTGGAGTGAGATAGAAAAAAGAATTAGTACATATGACATTTTTTCAAAAGCTCTATTAAAAGTAATTCTTACAGAAGAATGGAACATTCTAACTAAATAATAATAATAATAATAATAATAATAAATCCATATCAAAGCGCATGAAAAATGAAATTTTAGCTGCAGATTATCTAATGACGTATTGTATGTCTCATTATTTTCATGACTTTTTAAAATAAAATCTGCTTGTTATTTATTGTCTGTAAACCTTTCTGGGTGGTTCGAATATTTATAGTGTTCATTTTCAGAACTTTTTGAATGAACTATTTTTTTAAACAGAAACGTTTCGAATAACTTTGTTGAAAACAAGCAGGTCTTAAAAATGATGATCAATAATATACAAAAAAGAAAAACAAGGACATTTAGCTAATATTTAGCATTTGATATTTACAAATAAAACTGAGAAACACAAGTGTCCCAAAATACATGTGAGCCACTGTAATTTAATTACTATATTCGAACATTTTCGTTTTCAAAAATAATTTAAAATGTAAAAAATTTAATACCTAAAAAGATAAATTTGATATTAATTTAACGATATATTTATTAAACAAAATACACAGTTTTATCACTATATAAAAAAGCAATAAAGATAATTTCAGTGATATTAAAAATAAATATCTGATAACCGATAAATACCAGAAACTTAAGAAATTTATTCATTTGAGAACAGAATTCTTATATGCTATCATTTAAGATCATCATTGATACAATTTTAGTAACTTGAACAAATATTATGTTTCTGAGACACTAGATGGAGGTGCAATCGCATATAAAAAATAAAAATAAACTCTCGACGTAATCACTGACGTCAGATGACGCCGAAAATGCCAGCTGTTTCCACGGGCCAATGACTGAAGGAGAGTCAACTACTGAGCGGATGCGTGTTCATACATCTGTTGAAAAAATTTTACAGCAACAAAATTTTATAAATTATGTGACACTTAAAGGCTACGAAGCTTATGTAATCATTTTCTTCTAGGGTTCAAAGATTGTTAAATGCTTTAGAAAATTGAATTCTAATGAAAATTTTCTAATTTAATAAAAAAGTTTAAACAGACAATTTTTTTAAATTAAATTTTGTTTTATGATGTAACCATTTTCTTTTAATACGGGTTCAAAGATAGTTAAATGCTTTAGAATATTTTCTAATGAATATTCATTTTTATAAAAATTAATTGCAGTAAAGTTTAAAGAGACAATTTTTTAAAATTTTAATCTTATTTTATGGCTTTTAACTAATTAATTACCACTTCTTTAAATACAAAGGTCATTACAAATGCTTATTATGATAAATTCGAAAATAATTTTTTCTGGTAATTTCTGTATATAAAGCAGTTAAAATAGTGGATAATATTAGGTATTATGCGGAATTAAATATAAAATTTAGAAATAAAACAATATAATGTGGATTTGGCATTCTGCAATATAGAAGTTATTGTAATATTTAGCGATATAGTATAGTAATTTAGTAGATTAGTGGTATAATATGTATTTAGTGATATAGTAGAGTGGTTATAGTATATATGTAGTGATATAGTATATTAGTGATACAGTATACATTTAGTGATATAGCATATTAATAATATAGTATGAAAGGAAACCTAATGTAAGAAGATATGTATGATAATTAATTTTAAAATTAATAATTAGACTAGAAACAAAGTGACGAAAAATATCAGAAATAATGCATTTGTTTTCTATTACTCGAATGTGAAGCACAAAAATCATTCAAACAGGTCACAAATTTGCTAAAATATATTTTGAGTATGATATGATATTCCCCGTTAATGAAGACGATGAATCATCCTAGCTAACGAAAAGAAAAGATCAATGAACGTATAGACTCTGTCACCCTCAAATTATGAATGAGAGCGACCCACGTTTTAAGAATCCAGATCATTTGAAGGAGTGATGGTTGCTATTTTTGGCTATTAATCGCTAAATTGGAGAAAATGAAATTAACAAAAATTCAATTCTCATGGTACTTGGTCAGTGGCTAACAAAGCCTTAGTATGTGTAAGGATGGAAATATTTTAAAATTTAACGCAATTGTATATATTCTAAATTCAAGCAGAAATAACAATAAGAAAAAAGATAAAGGAAAAAATGGCTTTTTATTCTAACACTGCGGTATCATTATGAAAGTATAATCCACGAATTTAATGTTTTGATATATTACTTTCTGCTAGTCACTAGTTGTAAATGAAACTTGGGGCTTGCGCCAAGCTTTGGGTAACTGCGGTAACCTCAATTCACCAGCTGTACGTAGTTTAAAGAGACAAGAATTGCTCTGAGTAATAATGCCTTATTAATGAATTTGTTTTCCCTCTTTGACAACACGGTTTATACACTGAACTTATTGCTAATGCTTTTGCTATTAAGTACTATAGAATGCAAGAAAGATATTTAAAATAATAAATTAAATTAAAATAACAGATAATTAAAATTGTTATTAACTAATTAATAGTCGATATAACATATTTTCATTTTTTTTTGTAAATTTTTTCTTTAAAAAATGTTTTTTTAAAGTTATAAAAATAAATGTTAATATAAAATTTCTTTTAAAAGAATATTAATTTTTGATGCTATGCTTTTATATCGTATCTGGGTACAAGCATAAATGACATTGACAGCCGTCTAAGGCGCCTATTTTCGAAGGCGCTAGCTGAGTTCTCAAAACGACGACTAAATAAATGTAGTGTTTGCTTTGAACTAGTAATATGTTTATAATGGGCGCTAACTGTACTCATATAAAGCTATATGCAAGGGCGTCAACTGAAGTGATCACTCAGGTTGTTGAAAATGCCAACAAGACTGTATGTAAGTCTTAAAAACTTTAGAATTCTATGTATAAAATCTCATATGTTTCTAGTGAAGATTTAATTGTGTTTGAAGATATTTAAGTTAGCATTTATGGTTTTATAACAAAAATTGAAATATATGCATAGATGTAATTTTATGTAATTTTATATTTTGGAATTTCATTGCATGATGGGTAAACTTAACATCAGATTCTTACATAATTTTTTTTAAATATGTACTACAATGCATTTTTTAACAGCTTTCTAAGAAGAGCGGTATTTTAGTCAGGATTTTAATTCGAGGTACTGATTACAATAAGGCTCACCAGCGGCCGAGCGGTAAAGTCGCTGAACACTGGTAGTTCGGTTCGAGGTTCGAATCCCGCGAACGGGCTGGCTGCATGGGTGTTTTCGTGGTTTTCCCCATTTGTAAAGTGTATACGAGCCAGTTTCCCTTAGAAAGTCCTCCACGAAGGCATCCCTCCCGTTAGGCAGATAGCCCTCGTGTGCTTTGCCATAATTGAATAACCTAACCTAACCTGATTACAATAAAACTCATACAGGCTATTTTGAAAATAATTCTTATGGAAGATTTTCTCAGAGAAGGTGTTTAATTTTAAATTAGATTTAGTTAAGGAAAAAACACGGAATATCCAACCATTCTTCTACCTAGATTTGAGTTCTGTACAAAATTATAGATATTCAGTAAATCTATTTTCTCAACGACTAGTGATACGTAACTTCTGGGAGAAGGTGTTAAAATACCCCTAGGTTACGGATTATAAATCTGACATATAAAAACTTTTCATAATATAATTTTACAGCTGCAAGATTTTAAAATAAAAAAAATATTTTACTTGAATTTTTATTATTTAATGTATTTTAGCACTTTTATTATTGCTATTCGTAAAATATGAACTGTGATTCATATTTTATTCGTAAAATGCTATAATTCATATATTTCATTTCCGAAACAGTATTTCAATGGGATTTTTCTATAAAGTGTTTTAAATAAAAGCTGAATTTTAAAAACGTTTTGGAGGAATGTTAAAAACTCCATTATGCACAGCTGAGTGTACTAACGATATCACCGCAATAAAAAATTTGAATAATTAGCAACATTTGTTGAAAATTAAAACATATTCGGTAGCGTAGTTAATGACTTAGTTTCGCACTACCTAACGAAAACCCAAACTGGTGAAAACGTTTAGTGTGTATAGTCAGCTCGTAGATTATTAGTTTTAACTAGTAGATCATAGGGATATTTAGCTATCTGTGTTAAGCTTTAAAAGATTACGAATTAAGTAATCTAGTGGTTTACTCATTATTAATTATAATACATTAATAATTTCTTGACAGATTGATTCTATAAACTGTGACGTTTTAAGAACTTAAATTGCCACTTAACTACATATAGAAACTTTTGCCAATATTTTTTTTATGTCAACATATTACACGAAATTGGAAATACATTCTTATAAATTTATAATTAAAATTTAAAATATATAAGATTTTATTTTAATTACCCAATTCTTATTTTGGCTGCTTCTACATTTTGTGAACTTCTCCTAGTCTGCATATTAATTTGAAATGTAAATAAAAGACTAGTTTTAAAGTTATAGAGTTTGACTTGCTTTGGTAGCATACATTAGCATCAAATTCGTAACAAACGTAAAGCGAATTACCTCTGGTCTGAAGTAACAACAGAATCTTGAAAAAGGCTTAAACAACCTTTTATTTAAAACAGAACTTGAATATAAATGCACTTGTCGTGCTAACATAATCAACCACTACTTGTGACTATGAAACTAAAGTAACATTTAAATTCAATATTTAAAATTTATTTAGTCTAGTAGTTGAAGACAACAGAATTTAATTTTATATTGGCTCAGAACTTCTCACCGGCGTTACGATTAAATGTCGACAGTAATAACGCGAAGCCGGATAGTTACATTCTTATCAGATGTGACGAAATCTAGTAACGTGGCTTCGAGAAGCAGCAACACGCTCTGTCTCCAAAAACCTCAGTTTAGATACTTTTCTAACTGATATACATTTTTGGTAAGGAAACCGGAAAAGAAAAATTACAGTGTAGAAGTTATAATCATAATAACTGTACAAATAAAATTTTAATAGCCCTATAAAGTTTATAGGACAGAGTGTAGCAGCTTAGACTATTTATTCATCCTTGTATGTCTGCTAATTGAAATAGATTGCTGCAAAGATTTGATTGCTTTGACACTTCGCGTGTGATTAGTCGAAAGGAACTATAGTTGAATACTGGCTTCGCTGACATTGTGATTACATTCACTTTGTGTTAGAACTGCATGAGATACTTGTTATTCTGCCCACAAGAGAGCGGAAGTTCAGTTTCGGTAAATTTCAGTTTGTGTTACATGGTCGACGTGATAGTAAATATTTTATTCTAAATTTTACTTTGGTTGTGATACTTAACGAAATTATTCCTACTGTCTTTTATGTTTATTTTGGATAGTTGGTATATTAAATTTAATATCGTAACTGTACAAATAAAAAAGTATAAAAGTGGTCAGTATTCTAAGTATTGCACTAAAGAAAGCAAAAACAGTTTGGAAAACTACATATGCATGATCTCTTACCTCCATCCAATGGTTTAGCCACCAGGTCTTGAGAAGGGGGACCTGTTCCTGCACTATTGTAGGCTTTCACTACAATATTGTACTTATTAGATTTCGTGAGATTAGTCAACGTATATTCTTGGTTTTCTTCTACGACATTATCGACAGTCTTGAATGAATATGGGTGTGAAGATCCATCCACTTTATAGCCAACAAAATATCCGCGAAGTTGCCCATTCCACAGCTCACGTGGTGGAGGCTATACGTAAAAATAAGCAGCATTAGGCACATTCAGTATTTTAGATGACTTGAAAATTATACAGAGAATTTTTTTATTTCTTTATATAATTAGTGAGTTATTGACTTCCGAAGACCTTCAAAATAGAGCAAATAAAGAGAACTCATGATGAATGCAAAAATATCAGTTATTCCTACTATTAATCGTAGAACAATTACGTAAGCATTAAAGTGCTGGGATTTGAAAGTTTAATTAAAACGAAAATTTTACTTTTAGGTGTAAAATCAAACAAATCTTTGTCAGAATGAAATGAAGTATCTAGCAACTGAAAGATTCACAAATAGAAGTTACGAAGTGTTTTTATTTTTTGAGGCTAATTGTATATGACTTGTAAAAAATGTAACAAAAAGCATGTTAAACTGAAACCTTTTATGGTATCGTTGATATACGTGTAAATTTATAATTAAAAAGTTTTATGGTATCGTTGATATACGTGTAAATTTATAATTAACTTTCAGATTCATTATTAAACAACAGACGAAAACATCTTTATACCTTTATCATAATTTTTAGTGTCGTAGACCTGTCATAATTTTTTTTCCTAAAATCATTTAGATAAACGTTTTGAAATTTTAAAAACAAAATTTAAACATTTTATAAGGTATTTCTCCCGTCTCCCTAGCGCGCCTTCGTGATGTAGTGGTTCTGCACGCTGGGCCGGTATTCCAGAGGTCTGCGTTTCGATTCCCGACGAAATCGATTCATTTTGCCTGCTTCGAAAAATACCTAATTGTCTGCACAATTTAACCTTTTAAAACTTTATTATGAAACGCTGTCGGCTATGCTATCTTAAATGCTCAAATGCTTTCACCTTATAATCAGATAAATATTTATTCATTACAATAATTTGAAGCTTACGAATAGATTTACAAAACTGAAAGCTTAGAGCAAAACCTCTTTTGAAGCTCCTTTTCTAGTTTTTTCCAGCGCAATACAGAATTTCTTAATCTGTGCTATGCGGACCACAAGTGTCTTCGCATCTTTTTGTGGTCCTCTTGTGTTCCTTCTGAGTTTCAAAAAAACGAAAAAATTAAATTCAAATTAACTGCTTGTACCAGGCTGTAACTGAAAATCTGAATTTCAAAACTGCATATCGCAGTCATTACATATATTCCCTAAGAATAAAATTTTCCGAAGTTTATTACGGTTACATTACCTATCGATTTTACACGCTAAGAGATTTAAAGTACTATGACTGTGATGCTTCATTCAAACATAGAACGGATATGCAAGACTCGGTTAGGTCATTCATCTCATTCATGTAAGTAATAGCATTTATTTAATTTTTAGTTTATAAGGTAAAGGTTAATCAAATTCTTAGAGTCTTAAATTATCAAAAACGAATATAAATTATTTATTAACTTAATTATTAAATACCAATTAAAATTAAATACATTTTAATTGATTGTATTTTAAGTAATGTAGGTGTACAGAATATGAGCTGCTTCCGCAGGAGACACAAATAAGGTGGTTCGCAGGACATTATAATTTTTAAAAACGGTGTCCACTTGAAAAACGTTTGAGGAACGCTGGCGTAATAGATACCTTTGAAGCAAGTTATGAAAAGTGCTTTTCGAAATAATGTAATCATTCAATACTATTTCATTCGAACTATTTAAATAAAAAATGTGTAATTTTTGTTATATGCTTTATATTTATGATTTCAGGTCAGTATGTGTTGTATCGAAAATATATTACAGAATAATGTTTGACTGGAAAAAAATTATGAAATAGAAAAAAATGTACTCCTTTAAAAAGCATAAATGAAGAAAGAACAGTTTTCATAAATGTATGATACATAGTTTCTTGTAATTCCAGAGAATGGTTTTTAATAATATATACCAGCAACAAAAGTTTTCATTTAAAGTGAAAATGTACCGTTCAACTAGGTACCGCAGTAGCTCGCCTAACGCGATTTTAACGCTCGGCCGTCTGTGGCTATGCAATAAGTACTAGTTTGATGACTGCAGATGTTCTGGTGTAATTCTAAAATTTCTTCAATGTTTTAGAAATCGAACTTTCTAAATAAAATGACACATATCGTATATTAAAAAAATTATCACTTAAAAATACTTTTGACATATTAACACAATGCTGGGCACACAGGCTAGTATATTGTCGATATCCATACAATGATATCCATGATGAAGAGCTCGTGACAAATTTCTGTTATTTCAGTATCATAACACAATGTTCTTTTCACTGCTGATTTTATTTTAGGAAAGAAAAATAGCATTAAGGCAACAAATCTGGAGAATAGGTTGGAGGCTGGATGATCAAGACTCTTCCTCCCAAATCTTCGTAATGGGATAATTTGTCAAATTAGATTAAATTGGATTGAATTACGGCAAAATATGTGGCAGCTATCTGCTTAAGCAAATTAACTTTACACAAGTCATCTTCCGTTCTCTAATCTTTTCTGTAACATGCTTTTCCTATCAAAGTACCAATAATGTTATAGAGAAAGGCCGAATTAAACATTACTTTGAGTAATTAACCGCATAAATTAAAAATTCTATTTAACTGTAATTCTAATTATTTTCTGATTTTGAATGCTTAAATTTTTTCCTTGATTTTTCTTAAAAATTATTAATTAAAAAACATGTTACAATATTATTGCTGCTTTTTAGCCCAAAAGGGACTTTAGTGCCCAGTGGGATATTAGTCTGGAAATGGCCATCACTTAATGCTGCATCGGAAATTCTAAGCGTATACTGCGCTATGCTACTGTTAAAATTTTTGTAATTTTGCTGTTGAATTGTATATGGCGTATATGGCGTAAGTGCGAAGAAAATTATGCTTAATAATAAAGCTGAAAACAAAAAGACATTTCTTTCCCCCTGTGTTTATGCGAGTCGGTAACAGAATGACGTTCTTTGCACTCAAACCATAAAATTCAGTTCAGTAGCAATGTCGCAAAATAATTTTAAAATGAGCCTATCTTTAGAATTTCCGATACACAGTTCCGCGCCCCCTGGAGATAAAAAGGGTTTTTTTCCCCGCCGTAGAGTGTTGCCATTGCTCGCTTTTAAATCGTTGAGTTTGTTACTCAAAAATTCGTCTAAGTTTTACAAAATAGGAAATCCATCATAAAACAAATTCCAAATTTCAAATTTGATCTTCCACATGCCCATATTCGTAGGAGTATTATGTCATTTAAAATTCGATGGCTCTATGTACCGTTGTTTTATCACAATGCGAGAAATATACATACATTTATGCAGATTCTTCATTATTTAATTTCTTCAAATATAATGCACGACTCTAACATTTGGTGGCAACAGTTTGAAAAGTAAAACGAACATTTATAGTGATTCAACGCAAAATCGCAAAACGAAAACAATAGTCCTTCAGGGACAAAGCCCCTTTGGACTAAAAAAAGCGTAACAGCAGACAGGTAGACTGCGAGAGCGTAAAAAGCTTTACCAAATACTTTTTGGCAACCGTTAAAATCTGAAACCTTTCAGATTTCCCCACCCCAACCCCCGGCCATAATACTTTTATCCACATCTTTTAGAACTGGGATTTTTTTTCTTTCTTTCATTTCTACCATGGTCATTATACACTGAAGTGACAAAAGTCATGGGATACCTCATAATATTTTGTCGGTCCTCCTTTTGCCCGGCGAAGTGCAGCAATTCGACGTGGCATGGACTCAACAAGTCGTTGGAAGTCCCCTGCAGGAGTATTGAGCCATGCTGCCTCTATAGACGTCTATAATTGTGAAAGTGTTGACGGTGAAGGGTTTAGGGCACGAACTGACCTCTCGATGATGTCCCATAAATGTTCGATGGGATTCGTGTCGGGCGATCTAGGTGGCCAAATCATTCGCTGGAATTGTTCAGAATGTTCTTCTAACCAATCGCGAACAATTGTGGGCCCGGTGACATGATGCATTGTCATCCATAAAAATCCCATCGTTGTTTGAGTACGTGAAGTTCAATGATCGGTTCAGTTGCACCAGAGGACCGAGTCCATGCCATGTAAAAACAGCCCGGACCATTATGGAACCACCACCAGCTTGAACAGTGCCTGACAACTTCGGTCCATGGCTTCGTGGGGTCTGCGCCACATTCGAACCCTACCATCAGCTCTTACCAACTGAAATCGTGACTCATCTGACCAAGCCCTGATTTTCTATTCGTTTAGGACCAACCGATATGCTCACGAGCCCACGAGAGTCGCTGCAGGTGATGTCGTGCTGTCAGTAAAGGCACTCGAGTCGGTCTTCTGCTGGCATAGCCCAAGGAAGACAAATTTCGCCGCACTGTCCTATCGGACACGTCCCTCGTACGTCCCACATTGATTTCTGCGATTATTTGACGCAGTGTTACTTGTCTGTGAACATTGACAACTCTACGCAGACGTCGCTGGTCTCGGTCGTTAAGTGCAGGTGGTCGGCCACTGCGCTGTCCATGGTGGGATGTTATGCCTGAAATTAGATACTCTCGGCACACTCTTGACACTGTGGATCTCGGAATGTTGAATTCCCTAACGATATCCGAAATGGAATGACCCATGTGTCTAGCTCCAACTACCATTCCGCGTTCAAAGTCTGTTAATTCTCGTCGTGCGGTCATAATCACGTCAAAGCCTCTTCACATGAATAACTTGAACACAAATGAAAGCCCTGCCAAAGCACTTCGCATTTATACATTTCTACGCGATACAACTGCAATCTGTATATTTGCATATTGCTATCCCATGACTTTTGTCACTTCAGTGTATTTTCCCCGTGTTGTTTTTATTAAACGTTTCGTCCTCAAACGTGTTGCGTTTACGTTCGCAATGATTTCGGCTTACACGTTTAAAATGATATAGTTAGCATGTCAGTTTTTCTAACCCTGGTTTTTAACAAATAGGACCACGAAGGTGCTGTACAAAATGAAGGTAACAGCATATACTTTAAAAAATTATGTAGATAACGATTATTAAACACTTTTCGTATAATAGTACATTCATATGAATTTGATAATATTCTTAATAAAACTTAATAATATATTTACAGTATAAATATAGGTAAATTTTAATAATGAAACTATTCATAAAAACGTACTTTCCACGTCACTAAAATGGAGCTGGAACTTTTAGCTTCAACCCAAACATCTGTAGGAGGACCACTTGGTTCTGAAAAATATTACTTTTTGTATAGTTTGCAAGTTTCAAATATGCTTTTTAAGGTAATAATTAGTATAGAAACAAATTAACAAATAAACATCCATGCCATGATAAGAACTTAAAATTCGCAATTTTTGACATACCAAATTAAAATCATATTAATGTATATGAAATAATATTATACGTAACATTTTGGCATTAACCAAAACACTTACATATCTGCAGATGCTTACTATGCACTCCAATAAGAGCAACGCATTTTGGACTAATAAAACAAATTTGTTTTTTTTTTCGAATTTTAAAGCTCAAAATTTCATTTCTGCAATATGCTATAGAAGATATCGAATAATATTTTAGGCTTATTATCAAAATAGCAAATTACTGAATCATTAGTAAGTAAGCATTTGTATAAAGCAAAAAGCAATTTTGTCGAGATTTGAAAAATTCATATTACGGAAAATTTGTTTCGTTAATTAACTAATTGTAATATTTAAGATATTAATCAAAAATTTTAAATAATAGAATTATATTATTTATAACGTTTAAACTTTACAGTATTTTCTTTAAATTTATAACATTATTGAAAGGAAAAATTATTTTAAAGATATATTGTTCGGATTTTGTTTAATAAATATGCTAAAAATGCGATAATCAGAATTACAGTGGTTCAGCACACCTGATAACTCGGTCCATATTCATTGCCAGTCCTGCCATACAATGGCGCTATAATATTCGGGAACGCTGGGCAGTTGCTTCACGTAGTTTTAGCGCCAGAGGTGCAAATAGTTTTGAACCCCACTTTTTCTGATCACTTTTCATATGTATTATTTTTAAAGAAATAATATAGCAAATATAAAAAATTTGATGTGTACACCACATGACTTCCTTGTATTGGAATATTAAATTATACGCCTTTTTTCTTGCATTTCATTTAAACTGATTGGATTGAATTAAATATACTTCGGCGACAGCGCATAAACACAATAGAATAAATGCATTCTTTAAAATTCACTCTAGTGTTTGTTTACCATAGCGACACTCTGGCGCTAGATTCACTTAACAGTACTAATAATTATATAACAGTTAGCTTATAATTATATAACAGTTAACGTATATATTTCGTTCATATTATAACTCAAAATGCACAAAATTTATATCATTTAAAGAATAGAATTATCTAATCGTTGCCACATGTTCTATTCAAATACTATAATAAAGCTAGAATGATGTATAAAAGAAATTAAGCAAACAAAACAAAAAAGAAACAGTTTTTCACAGACAATTGAGTATTTCTCATTTAATTAATTCAGTTCTCCTTCGCGAGAAGGCAAAAATACATAAAAACTCAAAATATCTATATTAAAAATTACGAAGTAAATCTCAAACACTTATTTCCTCGAAGAAATTCCAGAAAGAATTAAGCATGATTTAATTGGCAATAATAAATGAATGCGTTATCTTTGTTGTTGCGAAGCTAAGTTTCTCTAGATTGGCAACAAATCCACTAGTCTCCTGTTTCAAATGTAAACATCAATGGCCGCCATTAAAAACAGGCTTAGCGGCAATTAAACAACTTTAAAATTGCTGATAATTCTAAAAATATTGCACACAGATTTACTAAAGGCATAAAATCCTTAACCGGAAGATAAAAAAGCAACATAATTCAATCATTTTTTTTTAAAGCAAAAAATGTACAATTTACAAACATATAAGAGTAAAGAAACTGAGGTTACTGAGCTGGGTAACAGAGTGGATATATATATAAATATATTTATATACGTTTGGTGCGGCCGATTGCAACCAAAATACGAGGTGCACATCTACATGTTATAGCAGTCCTATATACAAAATTTCAACGTTCTGAGGCTACTCGTTTTTGAGTTATGCGAGATACGTACGTACGCACGCACGTACGTACATACGTTCGTACAGACGCCACGAAACATTCTCTTCAGAATTAATTTTAAAGCAGTTTTATAATTTTTTTGAAGGAAAAGAGTATTTTATTCTGTCCTTACGTACAGATATCACGCAAAAACATCGTTAAATTGCATTCGATAGCGGTCAAAATGGATATTTTCGTTGAAATATGCTGCCTGAAACTTTTCGCGATTACAATACCTCCTTTTTACTTCGTACAAGGAAGTAAAAAGCATGCATGATAACACTTAAAATTTTATCGGGAATTTTAAATATATTTGGTTTTTAAATATTTTCTGATTTTGCTGTTGAAGTTTATGCGGCGTAAGTGATGTTTAATAAATACAGTTGATAAAGACAAAAGCTAAGAATAAATATGCATAAGAACATATAATATTTTGAAGCTCTGGGACGTAGTTTCCGCTACTGCACAACAGATAGCAAGAGTCTAGAGCAGGGGTTTTCAACCCTATGCCCATGGGAAACATGGCCCCCGTCGATCGTTTAACGTGTGTCTGCCGTTGTGCGATCACAATAAAAATGTTTTAGTTTTCAATAAAATGCTATGTGAAAGTTTTCTCATTTTTAATGAAACAGAAATTGCATCCAACACAGATACCAGCACAAAGTGAAATGCCACCGGTCTCTCTTTTTATGTGCACGTATTATTAACTCTATCCAACTAGATATTCACTTTGAAAAAGCAAATGCCGCCCGCCGTTCAATAGATATTCTAGAATATGCTCTTAGGGACAAAAAGGTTAGGGATTCCTGGTCTAGAGTAATAACTAGCATTGGGATGTCCTTCAGGAACACTGAAATATTTCTTTGCAAGAAGACATCAACTACAAAAGGAGAGTGTTATCTGGATAAGCAATGTTTTACTTGTGGTCGTGATTCATGATTTGTAATTGAAATTATACATGGTTATTAATTTTTAGTAAAAAAGCAATTTTGTCAATATATTTTCTGATGGTTTTGATTTTTAAATGGGTATGTAAAGTAATCTTACTAATAAAATTTTCTGATTTTACAGTTACATTTTATGTGGTTTAAGCGTGAAGAAAGTGATGTTAAAAAATTAAGTTAAATGAACAAAAAGTGTTGTAAAAGTTAAATGAACGAAAAATGTGAGGACAAGCCTCACATTTCAGCATCGATTTCTTCATCATAGTCCTTTTTCAAACACAATGAGAGAAATCTAGTTTGATGAGGTTTTTTTTTTTTTTTTTTTTTTTTGTGTGTGTGTGTGTGACTGAAATGAGAGTCTGAAATGGATACGAGGTGGACGACAGCTTGTATCGTTTTTCTTTCTACCTTTGGCCTCGATGTATGTTGTTTCTACTGTGGCTTCTAAATTCAGGAAATAAATTTTTCTGTTTAAGATTTTAATCTGTCCTTAGTGAAAAAAAAATTAGAAATTTCGGAATCTCTAGTGCCATTTGCAATAAAGGAGGTGACGTTTAAGTAGAAATACGGACGACGCCAGCACATGTTCAGTATTTTTCTACGAACATTTTTCAATCACCATGTGAGGCATGAATATCGGCCAAGTGTAATACAGGTAAATTCTTCAATAATAACTGTTCTAAATGAATCTAAACTGTGTTCTTTGTCGTCCACTTTTGGAGAATAAACTACTATGAGGTAAACTTTGATGATGTATATACACTGATCGAGAGTGACCATAATCATTGTAAGAGGAAGTGATATGGCTGCTCAGAACATTTGATAATAAAGTATTATTTAAGTATGGAAAGTGCCGGATTATCGAACTTTTGCTGTAGCTTCATTTTTTGAATAGCCAGCAAGGATTATAATCTTTCCTACATATCATTCATTGACAAGTGCTTAAGGTTGGAACGTTTGCTTAGAGATGATCGAATTATTCATCACTCCCAATCAGCTAATTCACCGCATCGTTACTGAGATTGTTGCACAGTGTTCAGCACACAGGATCCAAGTAAACTCAAAGACAAGAAAAGAGGAAAAAAGAAGAGAGGAAAGGAGAGGGAGGAAAGAGAAGAGAAAAGGATTCAATTGGATTATTTAATTATGGCAAAGCACACGAGGGCTATCTGCCTAAAGGGAGGAATGCCTTCATGGAGGACTTTCTAAGGGAAACTGACTCGTATACACGTTACACATGGGAAAAACCACGAAAACGCCCATGCAGCCATCCCGCTTGCGGGATTCGAACCTCGAACCGAACTACCAGTGTTCAGCGTCTTTATCACTCGGCCGCTGGTGGGCGCAAAGAGAAAAGGAGAGAGGAAGAAAATAGAGCGGACGGAAGAGAGCTTAGGAAAAGAGAAGACAAGAAATTAGGGAAGGGGGGGAAGGGATGAGAGACAGAGAGGTATACCGGTAGGCAGGCAAACAAACGTGAATACACACACATATACAAACATGCACGTGAAAGAAAAAGAATTTACAAGGGATAGGAACGCGTGTCCACTTCAATAACGACGCGGCAGTCAGCGATTGTTAATAATCTATTACCTAACACGGCTAGTGTTTATACATAAAATTTAATTCAGAACGATATATCATTTTAGATCAAACTTTTTAAATTTCTCAGATTAGAAGACAATGTAAAAACGTTTGGACGTGGTGAAAGAAATTTTATTTTTTGAATGATTATACAGTGAGAGTTCATATATATGTAAATAGTATGCATACATTTTTGCGGCGTTTACGTATTGCAAAAGGTCTAAAAGCCACTCACTAAGTTTTTAAAAGAATTATAAAAGCTTAGTGAATATCTCTGAGAACCTTTGCTACACATAAGCATAATATGTTATGTATTGTAATTTAGTTCGATAAACGTTTATCTTTATTCCGAAAAAAAAAAAGATAAATGTAATGAGAAAACAGTCTGAGAAAATTGCTAAGGTAATAGTTTTGTTCAAAAGGGTGAGTGACCCAAAAAGTCTAGTATTATTAACTTTTCGGAGTTTTTAAGTTTAAAAATAAATTCGTGTCAAAATTTCAAACCTTCTTCTCCTGTTACAAGCTCGAGGATATCTGATGGTAGTCCCTGTCCGATTTCATTTTCACCCAGAACCGTTACTGCATATGGCGTTCCGGGTTGCAAATTTTTCAGTAAAACTGTTGTGTGACTACTTGGAACTGTTTCTTCCAAAAGTCTATGAGGTCCACCTAATAGGAAAAAAAATATATAATTATTTGATGTAAAAAAACACACACAATTGTGGTATAAAATTTGTGCAATATTTTGCATATCAGTATAAGCGCACCTTGAAAATTTGCATGTTAATAAAATCAGCATTTATCAAATAAAAAATATGCGCGCCTTTTACTATATCACATTTTACAACTCAGTTCAATTTTGAAATAATTGAGTTTTCTGTTTTCAGTGGATTTGTACTGCAAACAAAAGGGAGTTTTGCCTGAAATTTCTATTTTAACATTTACATGAAGAGGAATTGTTTACATATTTAGATAAATTATTTACTTTTATAAAGAAACTCCCCAACAGTGTTAGATTTTAACGGTCAAAATATGCGGACAGAAATATTTGAAGAAAATATAGGAGTATAAAATGCAAAGCAATTCATTATGTGTTTAAAACGTCTAACAATATAATTAATTATTGCATGATATATGAACAACAGTTAGTTTTACGTAAAAAGTAAAACCTGAATTTAGAATTTTGTGTGTTTTCAGTTAATTTGTAGAGACATTAGGTATTTTTGAAAACAGGGAAGATGAAAGTTGAGCGATGCATTCGTTGGGAATCGAACCACGGACGTCTGGAATACGCGCCCAGAGTGCAGACCACGACACCACGAAGGCATGCTAAGAGGGAGGGAGAAACACCTTATATACACTCCCTTTTAAAGGGCGACTGGGGTTTTTAGGGAACCCAATCGCCAAATCCTGGGTGTGGAAAATCATCATCCACTACCCTTTTAGTTCGGGTGCCACTGTAGAGATATTATTTTTTGGAAGCAGGAAAGATGAAAAAAGAGCAACACCCTCGCCGAGAATCGAACCATGGACCTCTGGAAGGCGCGCCCAGCGTGCAGACCACCACACTACGAAGGCATGCTAAGAAGGGGGGATAAATACCTTATATACTCCCCTTTTTAAAGGGCGATTGGAGTTTTTAGGGGACCCGATCGCCAAATTCTGGGTGTGGAGAATCATCATCCTCGACCCTTTTAGTTCGAGCGCCACTGGGCATTAGGTTATTATTGAAACAGGAAATGAAAAATGAGCAACGCCTTCGTGGGGAATAGAACCACGGACCTCTGGAATACGCACTCAGCCAAGAAGGCTGGAGAAATAACCTATAAGCTATTTAAAAAAAAAGAAACCAGTTGCATGAAACTAATTTAGTAAATGTTGGGAGTATATGCCAAATGTGAAGCCAAAATGGCAGAAGAAGATAAAAAGAAATGGTAAAGGATTTTAATTTTATAAACAAATCAACAAACACTATTCCAAAAATGCATCAAAATTCCTTTTCGAAAATAAAAGCTACGCGTGTTACCTCCCTTATTCAAATGCAATAGGACTAGTATTGGTTAGATTAATAGAAATGCTTAGATCAATTTTTCTCAAATTATTTTGGTTTACCACTCACGTTTAAAAAAATTTGAGCTCTATAACTTGGGAACCCACATTTATAATTTTTACAAAAATACACCAGAAATACTGAGATTACTTTATTTGTATATTAATGAAGTTATAGAAATGTATTTTCATACTTGATTAAATTTTTGTAAGGATGGGAATACGGGATAATTTAATAAAAAGACGGTAAGATGAGCCTGATGAATTTCTACCAGTTTAATATTCGGCTTCCTTTTTGGAAAAACAAAATCGCAAATATTCGCGGTTATTATTGGCAACCGATTCCTTTTTTACATTTATTAGAGTTGTTACAGCACTGAACCCACGTAGACAACGTATACAGATGGTTAACGTAGATACACTTAGAAATAAGTTTATCAAGTAAGAGTGTAATGAATTATTTCAAGAATGAACGGATGATACTGAAAAATTTGTGTATTGAAGTGATTATGATAACAAGCGTCAAAGATAAAGGACAACGTTTATTTAAATTTTATTCTACCTTTTCAGTAATTCTGAAGTATTCTGTAATTCTTTATTGACATCTCATACACAAGAGTAAAAATTTATGGTAAGGTTGTAGAGACATTAGGTAATTTGGAAGCAGGAAAGATGAAAAATTAACAACGCCTTCACCGGGAATCGAACCATGGACCGGCCCAGTGTGCAGACCACCACACCACGAAGGCATGCCAAGAAGGTGGAAGAAATACCTTATATGGTCATGTGAAATTTTTTACTTGTTTCACTGTTAGTTTTGTCGTCTTTTGAAAGACAAAAGAAAGATATCTACGAGTTGTTGAGAATTAAACAGATTATGAATATGGTGATGCAAACAGTTTAAAATAAAACATTTGTGAATAAATCTGAAAAATGACTTTATTGATGTTATCAAATATTTTGCTTCAATACTGGATGGAGTATGCAAATAGCCTCGGATGTTTCGTAACGCTTATGTCTGACAGAACTGTGCTATTTTCAATGAAGTATTTTATAAGTCTTAATGAGAATTAGGAAATAAAGAGCCAGATACCTCTGTTTCTCCAGTACTGGATGATGTACTTAGTGATGGGTTTGTTACCCGAGTAAGGAGCGGGCCACGTAATGCTAGCTGTCCTGCTCCACACTTCTTTCACTTTCACATCCAGAGGTTTGTTTGGTACCTCTATAATAATAAAAAAATATTAGAATGAAAACCACTTGTATTCATATTGAAGCGGTTTTTCATGTATTAGCATATAAGAACACAAAGAAAAGTTATTAAGAAATTTACAGAAGAATTGAAGTTAGTTCGCACATGCTCCTTTGTTTTGTTAATGTAAACTAGAATCAAAGAATATTACTAAAAAATTAAGTGTTTCGAAAAAGGCTCAAAGGAGTCTTTCGAGATACAGCACACTTTCCTATAAAAATAACATCATTCTAAGCATAAATTTTGCTTAATTTCAAATTACACAATGTGCTTTTCGTTCGTGTATTACAAATGCTTAATGTTTTTAAAATTATCCAGAATTCAACCTTAATTTTGTGTTAATTTTACAGAGATGGTTAATCCATTTTAAAAGAATCTTAAACGAATTTTTATTTTCTCTTCTTTTGAGGGGAAAAAAATCTGCATCTGTCAAGTAATACTAGATTTAAATTTCAAAATAAATGAACACATGGCACTGAGCAGAAATGAAGAGGGAAAACAGAAAAAGGATAATTAAATAGACTCTCGAACAGATTACGTATGCGCCCAGAATTAAGTAAGTTAATTTTTATGAATCATATTTCATGAACTTAAATTATTGTTTTTATCATTGAAGCATTTAATGCTTTCCGTAAAAATTTGCTTTTTTACTTTTTTTCAATTTTTACTTCCTTGTATTATGTCGAAAAGGAACTATTGTTATTATAAAAGATTTGCGTTAACAGATTTCAACGAAATTTATTATCCGTTTTTACCGTTCTTGTATCCATTTTGACGTTTTTTGCGTGAAGTCTATATGTACGGACAGTATAAATAACTCTTTATTCCAAAACGGATTGTAAAATGGATTCAAAATGAGTTTAAATGGATTTTTTCGTGACGTCTGTACGTATATATATATATCTCCCATGACTCTAAACTGATCAGCCGTGGAATATTGAAATTTTATATATGGGACTGTTATAAAATTTTTTTGCATATCCCTTTTTTATTGAAAAGTATTAAAAGTACATTATATATAATTTCATTTTTTAGTCTTTGTAAAAAATTGTTTCTAAATTTCTTACTCTCTCTATAGACTAGCCGTGGAATATTGAAATTTTATATATGGGACTGTTATACCATTTTTTTGCATATCCCTTTTTTTTGCAAAGTATTAAAAGTACATTATATATAATTTCAGTTTTTAGTCTTTGTAAAAAATTTTCTTACTCTATATATATTTGGGAAAGTTTCACAATCTTTGCGGAAAAATAAAAATAAAAGAAATTTGACTCCCGCATGACAAAAATTAACCGCGATATTTAATTTCGAAATTTGAAATTTTTGATGTCGTTTTCGACTTGCATTGAGGGATCGGTTAATTTAATTAGACTATTCCGAGGATGAAATTTTAAATGAAATGCAGCAAAAAAATGTGTATTATTTAACAGGCCGAATGTGTTTTATTTTGCTCAATAGGTGACGTCTCATAACCAAAATAACTGTCAGAACAATCCAGAATTTTTTCCTCTTTCAAGAAACTTGGCATATTTTCTCAAAACGCTTACAAGAAGATATATACAAAATTAGTTAAAATTTTAGGCTGAATTCTTCATTTTCAAACTAGCATTTCTTTTCTTACACATATTATTCAATTGAAAGCGAAACACGGACGTATAACATTTAAAATTAGACAAAAAAGGGGGAGGACTTTAGTTTGGCATAGATTTTGAATAAAATTCTCTCGATTTCGAGGATAACCAGGCATAGGGCTTTCTTCTGCTTAAGAACAAAAATGTTTCGCAGAAAGCTTTTCAAGAACTAATTTCTCAACTAAACCTTTAATTTTAGAAAAGAATTTAAAGACCAAATAATAGTAAAAAACTTTCAGAAGTGTTTTTGAAAAAAAAAATAACATTACAAAACACGCATATATGCATGTATATTGAATTCAAATTAAAAAACGTGTGCACGATATACACATTAAGTAAATTAATGATGTGTACAATAATGTATATTTTTACTTACATGTATTTCAGTATTCATACAATTGATTTATAGGTATCTCCTTTTTGTCAGTATTGTATTTGTGCTATCCATTTTGTTTGTTAATTTTTTATTACATACTTTGATGACTGAAACAGGGTAAAAAAAGTTCAAATCTTAAAAGTTTAATATTATTGAATACTTAAGTATTTAATATTTTGGTACATTCTGAAAACATTCCATTTTTGTTTAACTGGACATTCATCTTTAGTACAATGCAGGTTTAATTCTAGTTCAACAGGCCGGATCATGAATGAATGTAATGCAGTGCACAAGGCTAACGGCTAGAAGGCAAAAATTATGTTGTAATTATGTATACTATATTATTCTATTCGGCATTAACATATGTGCACTATAATATACTAAACTAAGTGGCGCAACAGTCCTAGTGGGCCACAGCCTGCAGTGCCCTTTTTCTGCGTTCTTGACCTTTGGGCCCCGGAGTGCATCAGCATATGCCCTGGGCTTGTCGCAGGGCCCTCGGTGTTTAGGGCTCAAGCGAACTTGGTACTCATTTTATCGACCCACTTAAGGGATGAAAGGTTGAGTCAGCCTTGCTCAGCGAGGGGATCGAACCCCGGACCTGTGGTGCAGCTGCGTGACGCGTTAGCCACTATGTGCACTATAATATACATACGTAATTTTCGAAACTAAAAATAGTTTTTTTTAGTAATTTTAAAAGAAATTTTAAGTATTTAAATTTCAGAATAACCACCCTTTATTAAATTAAAAATGTTACGACTATGTTAGAATAGTATTTAAATGTGAAGAATAACATGTAACACTCATCATTCGTAAAAAAAATGCATACAAATACAAGCAATTAAATAATTCTTGAGGATGAATCTAACTGATTTCGAAATACTTTCTTGAATTAGGGTTTCTTTATTAGTATCTGCTGAGTTATTTTAAAAATGAGTTTGTTGTAAGCAAACGCATCTTCTCACATCGAAATGTCTGATGCACCACTTAGGCACGTCGGCGTATCGATCGATGGGAAGCTTACTTCTCAACCGGATGATTCATCCAATAAACACATACATTCTCTCTCTCTACAGACGGTTTATAGAAGAAACGTATCATTTTATACACAAAAGATGTTATTAATGTTTTCTAAGTATCATTTAGTTTAACAGGTGTTCATTTATATTATTGTATCATAGATTTAAGCATTATAGTTTTTCTATTACAATTTCCAAAGATTTAACACAGTGATTTGAAGACTGCTATGCAAATTTGAAGATTGATTTGATGATTCTGCTATGCAAATTTGACGACTGCTATGCAAATTTCATAAAGATTTAAGCATTATAGTTTTTCTATTACAATTTCCAAAGATTTAACACAGTGATTTGAAGACTGCTATGCAAATTTGAAGATTGATTTGATGATTCTGCTATGCAAATTTGACGACTGCTATGCAAATTTCATAAAGATTTAAGCATTATAGTTTTTCTATTACAATTTCCAAAGATTTAACACAGTGATTTGAAGACTGCTATGCAAATTTGAAGATTGATTTGATGATTCTGCTATGCAAATTTGACGACTGCTATGCAAATTTCATAAAGATTTAAGCATTATAGTTTTTCTATTACAATTTCCGAAGATTTAACACAGTGATTTGAAGACTGCTATGCAAATTTTAGGTGACTTGAAAAATTTTCTAAAATTATCCTTACTTTTGCACAAGAAATAATTCAACTAAAATAAAATAGTTTAAGTCTTAAAATTCCTCTTGCTGTTAGTTTGGTTTATTTTTATTTTTTCCATTTATCCAAAGTACTTACGTACTCTATAAAAACAGTTTTATAAATTATTATTAGGGTAATGATATTATCTGACGCAAATTTCTACAAATTTTAGATTTTATGAGGAATGCATTTTCGTGACAACGTCGAATAATTCTCAAATTCTGAATTTTTAGTACTATTTTTAATTTTCATTATAATTATAAGACTATATTTTAGATTTAGATAACATTTTGCATTAGTTTCTCATAGAATTTCGGTTAAATTATATTGCAAAGGAATCTTATTCTAAAATTCAAACCAGAACTTTGAATTATCATGAGTTTTGCTAAATGTCTGGAAAATAAGAGAAGAAAGAGTCACTTAGCATAGTTATATAAAGTCAGATTCCGTTTTCTCTCAATAGCAATTAACAGTTTAAATGCCGAGGGATCTTTTTTTCAAACGAGCCACTTAACGAAAGAAATAAGCACATGTGTACAATTAAATGGTAACATTGGACTAAATTAATGGTTTAAATATGTTTCTAGAATTTAACGGTTTATATAAGTAAATTTCAATTAAAATGGTAGCTGAAATGGAAGTATAGAGTAAAATATATCAATATGCGTAAAGAAATGTAATTTTTTTAAAGTGTAAATTAAGCTACATAAAATGATTGTCGTTGTCTTCAGTTATGAGAAAACAAAAATTTATTTCGACAAAAGTAATGAAAACTGGGGCTACAATGTTTACACATACTTATTCACAGATTAGTAGAATATAAATTTATCATCTCTTGCTCTTATATTTAGATAACTCTTCCTTATTATTACAAATTCTTTTTCTCTTCTCGTATACTTTAACCGTAAATGTTATAAGAAATATGCCAATCTAAATTTTAAATGTAGGCCAAACAACAACTTCATTTTGACTAAAATATAGAATAAAACTATCAATTTCGAAAGCAATTAGACACAGATCCCTCTTCTTCAGGGCCAAAATAGAATTTTTTTTTTTTTATAAAAAGAGAGTCCTGTATCTGAGCGTTGTTAAAGTCTTTGTAGTTTTATATTCAGTAAAAGTAAGTTTTAAGTCACACAAGAATTTTTTAAATGTCTAAAAAATACTAGAGATTGATCTATTGAAACATGCTAAAGGAAATAAAGATTAGTTTATAATACAAAATGCCGGCACTTACCAACGACTAGTAACTTCACATTCCGCTCATCTGAACCGTATTCGTTTTTTGCTAAACAGCCGTAGATGGCTCCATCTTTTCTATCCGAAGTTCGAATGATCAATTCCGAACTTAGCCCTTTCTCAACGTCTCTATCAAATTTTTCCAACCTGTAAGAATTGTTAAACGTTCAGTTTATATATATATATATATATTATATATATAGATATATATATATATATATAAGATATCTATATATCTCCCTTAAATGAATATATATATATATATTCATTTAAGGGAGAGCTATTTAAAAATGTATGCTTACACATCAGATATACCTTCTAATAATGAATTTGACGTGTCATGAAACAGTTAATTTGTATCTGATGTAGAAGAACAAATTGAATAGTTTATTAAAAATATAAATAGCTCCAACCAGCTTACAGAGATCAGAAAAATACAATATGAAAATTCAAGCAGAATATTTGCGAAAGAACATCCGGCTGGTTCAGGTAAATAGAAGAGCCAACAGCAAGTAAAACACGGCAATACGGTCTTTAAACTGAAGATTTCAGCTAGAGATTGGCATTAATTTTAAAGAGATGCTCCATATGATATAGATTTTAATGCTCCTGACACATGAGATAAATTCCTGAGTTCGTTTGTTCGTTCCGCTGTTGAAATTCAGAGTTATTCACATTCATATAACCCTCCTACGATTTTTAGAAGTAAAATTTTTCTAAATCAAATTTTATACGATGGCGTATTTGTAAAGTGAAAACTCTTACTAGTTCTTGAAGTTTCATTTTGGTTTTCTGAAATATTCAACCTCGTTATAAAATATTTCTTTCTAATAAATTATGAATATTTTTTGAAGTAATCTTATGTTATTTTGCATCAGAGTAATAGAAAAAAAAATGTAATTATAATTACAATTACAGTTGCAGTTACATAATTGTATTTATATTATATGATTACTCTGTAATTATAATTGTAATTATGAAGTAAAATTCAAATAAAATCATACAATTACAAAGTAACCAATTACATTGTAATTAGAATTACAATTACAGTTACATAACTGTAATTAGATTAAATAATTACATTGTAATTGCAATTGTAATTATAAAGTAAAGAAAGGAAAAAGTACGATAAGACTAGAAATACGTTAATTACTTTCCTAAGCTTTGTTAGCTTTGAAAATAATTAGCAGATTTTTTAAATACATATTAAAAATATGTAGTCGATTGCAATAAACTACAAATTCAGTGCCAATATGATAACAAATATCTAACTTGTATAGTTTTTAGCTGCTTATGAGGAATATTTAATTTCTCCCACGCATTAAAAATGAAATCATACAATTTAAAAATATATTTTTCAGCAGACAATAGTTCCTAATTTGGAGAAGACTTCTTCTAAAATATTGTTCTATATCACATTCAAATCAAGTTTGAAACACGAGCTAATAAAATTTTAATAAAATTACTCTAATATTGTGTGACAATTACTTCTTCTGAATATGAATAAATTTCTTTATGATTGGTTAAGAAAAGCAACGTGATAAATTTTTCATATTGAGGAACTTCTTAAGATACAGAATTAACATAGTTTGGTTGATTAAAGCAAAGCACGCAAAGACCATCTTCTTGAGGAAAGGACTGTCTTCGTAGATGATTTTATAGGGCTTATATCAAAATTCAGAAAAACCACATAAACGCTCATGCAGACAGCATATTCGCCAGGATTTGAACCCCGGTCGAGCTACCAATGCTCACTGATTTACAGCTTAGCCGCTGGTAACCCTATATAAAATAAGTAATCTGATCTGATGAGATTCTCAACGATTAGAAAAGTCATGTTAAATAAATACTATAAAAATAATGTTCATCCTTTTCCTTCAGGCCTACCAGGGGCCGAGCGGTAAAGTCGCTGAGCACTGGTAGTTCCGTTCAAGGTTTGAATCCCGGTGAACGGGTTGGCTGCATGAGGATTTTCGAGGTTTTTTTCCATTTGAAACGTGTATACGAGGCAGTTCTCCTAGAAAGTACGTCACGAATGCAACCCTGTTCTTAGGCGGATAAACCCTACACTACTTTACCATAACCAAATTAACCAAACCAAATCTTTTACTCCTGTTCTATGGTTAGTTCTTTTGTGAATTTTATTCCTAGTTTGTTCATTGAAATTATTAAACATCTCGTAGCATATCTCTTTGAGATATTTATTGATTTTAGTTCCTGGATTTCATACCTTGCAATATATATTTGAATAAGCGATTCAGTGAAATAAATGTTTAAGGTATTTCTATCGTCTTCCTATCGTGCCTTCGTGGTGTAGTGGTTCTGCACGCTGGGCCGGTATTCCAGAGGGTGTTATGAGTATTTGTAAATTTATAATGACTCTGCATAATGGGTGTACTTAAAACACCATTCAACCGAAATTTCACTTTAGAAGTTGGTGACAGGTGATAGATCTTTCGTCTGGGGTATTCATCAAAGTCGGAGTGGAACTGGGCAAAGTCTGACTGTTGTTACCTATAGCAAAGGCTTGGTGAATGACAGGTCTTACTCTATATCTTTCATAGTTATGATAAGTTTATGAAGTTTATAAGGTATTTCTCCCGCTTTCTTGGCGTGCCTTTGTGGTGTAGTGGTTCTGCATGCTGGGCCGGTATTCCAGATGTCCGTGGTTCGATTCCCGGCGAAGGCGGTTGCTCAGTTTTCATCTTTCCTGCTTCCAAAAAATATACCTAATGACTCTACAGTGGTGCACAAAGTAAAAGTGTGTTTTATGAGGATTTTCCACAGCCAGGATTTGGAGATTCGGTCTCCTAAAATCCCCAGTCACCCTTTAAAAGGGGGAGTATATAAGGTATTTCTCCCGCCTTCCTAGCGTGCCTTCGTGGTGTAGTGGTTCTGCACGCTGGGCCGGCATTCCAGAGATCCGTGGTTCGATTCCCAGCGAAGGCGTTTGCTAATTTTTCATCTTGCCTGCTTCCCAAAAATTCCTAATGACTCTACAAATGTCCAATTAAAATTGGAATGCTACTTTATTATTTAAGTGAAAAAGCTTCCAAAAGGCTTTAATTTACAAAAGCAGATCAGTTTCCTACTATTTGGCTCTGTCATTCTCATAAAAATTATTCATACAGCCATTTTAAATTAAAGATGTGTTCTGTAGCTTTAAGTTTTGGAGGGATAATTCTTATTGTTTGGAGGGCCTATCATCACCATTTAACTTGAAATTAATTCAGATATTAAATTGAAATCTGCCTATCAAGTTCAGATTGCAGTTTTTTTCCGATATTGTGATTTTTATATTTTTTTTCAAATACTTCTTTTAATGTTTTGAAACTTTAATTATAAAATCTTCGAGGTGTTAGATAGTAATCTGAAGCTTCCCAGATTACAATTTTTATTTCATTTTTTTTGATTGGTTCATGCAGTTTCCTCATACGGCGTAGCTTTAGTAATATTTGCTTTTTTAACCTCCATAAAAAAAAAAAAAAAAAAAAAAAAGAAAAAAAAACTCCAACCATTTGGGGAGGGGGAACACGGTTTCTTTGAAGAAAAGAACCTACCATTTTATCATCATTATTACTATATTATATTGTTATTTTTTCAAATTTTTTAAGCATCGAAATTCTCGCTTGAAAATAATAAAACATGCTGAAAAAGAAACAGTTTAAGTTGCCGGTACATTAATATTCATTACATTGAAAATATTACTAATTTATATATGGCACTTATTAATTATATTCGATTACTAAAAGTTTAGTTATTGGATTAAAGCTTTAAGAATTTCACACAACAAGCCATATGATTATGTTAGTTCCCCTATTCTTTAATTCTTTCTTTTCCTTAAATAGATACTAGGTGTAGAATGTGTATTCGAGTCAGCTATCCCGCATAGAAAAAATTTTGCTTCTGCTTGAATCATGTGGAGCCTTTTTCTTAGTCTTGAAATGAACATCTAAATAAAATCTACTATTATAATTTACGTAAACCATCATTTATTACGTTAAGCTACATTTTATATTTTAGTTTCTCAAATTCATATGGCTTTCTAATAATTTTCCTCACTTAAATATGTTATGTCTTTTATATTGTGCGAGGGGCTGTTATCATAGTTGAGATAAAATATTTGTTGTTTTTAAAATGCGTAGTATAAGTTTAAGTGAAATACATGTTTTCGGATTTTTACATGTGAATTTTAGAAAACCTAACACATACCTGGTATGTTTCTTGAAGTCAATTTCCGCTTTATCTTTCGTCCATGTTATACTTAATGGCTTATCACCGATGGCTTCGCATTTAAGAGTGGCTGTTTCACCTCTGCGAACAGACTGCAGAGTAAATTTCTCTTCGAAACGCGCGGGAACTAAAATAAGAGAAAAAATCTAAATATGCAGCTAAAATTAAACTGATCGATGAATAATCAAGTGAAAGGTTAATGCAATTCATTGGGTAAAGTACAAAAATAATTTCTAATGCTCATTTATAAATTAGTTACACATTCTGTTATTTATAAAACGAGCAGAGTAAATATGCGAAAAAAGGAGGTACATGTGCGCTAAAATGTTTCGGATATATAGAAGTATAAAAATACAAAGATACATTAATCAGCTGTAATCGAACTGATGTAGAAATTATGCGATTTTTCTTTTCTGAAAAAGACAAAATAACATTAGGAGCAATAAGAACATAGTATGTTAAAATAAAAAATTTCATACACAGTGAATAAATTATTCAATTACGCAAAACCAGTTCTGTTACAATTTTACTTAGATATGCTAAAAACGCAACTGTCTTTTACAAACCTTTGAAGAGAAAGAAACATCGGAATAAAAATTTCATTCACAATTAATCAACTATGAAATTTAGAATAATAAACCTTTTATAAAGTTATACACATAAAATGAAGTATTTTAAACATAGACCTACTCAGTTTACATATAAAATAATATAACATAACCATTCTTATATTTAATAGTATAGAGAAAAAACGTTTATTATTATATATATATATTTAAGACAATGAGTTATTAATACATCTCAGAAAGGTATAAACTTTGTTGCATTCATAATTTGACATGAAATTTGTAAATTAAAATCAGAACTACATAGTTCAACTGCAAAGAATACCTTTTGTCAAACTGATAAAAAAAAGGCTTATACTGAAAATACCAAAATATGCATTAAACACATAACCCTCAAGTAACGAACCAGTAAGTCTATTATCCATTAAAACACAAAAACTCTTTCATCTGGAATTAACTTATTGTTAAACATAAACTATATGCTCCTTAATGAAGAGTTGATAGTTTAGGCTGATACTGAGTTTCTGTTTACGGTAATACTGGAAAGTAATTAGTGAATATAAAACGATAAATACAAAGAAGTAATTAAAGCATCACGAAGCTGTAGCGACAGATTTCTTTATAAAAAAAGAGGGATGTCGTTCAAAAAATATTATTGATATGACTAGAAGAAGCAGTTCACTCGTAAATCAACATAAGCTATGTTCTCCTTAATGAATGAAGCGTTAATAGTTTAGGCTGTCGTTAATAATAATAATGAACAGTATTTCTCAGAAAGCAGTTAATATAAAATGATAAATACAAATAAATAATAAACGCATTACAAAGTTGTAGCGACAGATTTCACTTATTAAAAAAAGAGGGATGTTGATAACTAAAATGCATTATTTATATGAATAACAAAAGCAGCTGTATTACTTAATCCATAACTGAAACAACTACAGTTCATGACGGAAACAGCTGCAATTATGTTACTTGACCCATAACCATAACTGAAACAAGTGCAGCAAGTTCAAGATTCAGATATTAACAATTACTAAACTTTTTAACGCTTATAACTATCATTAGAGGTTCATATCATTAATACAATATTAACGGTTATAACTATCATCAGTTAGAATTAAGATTTTAGCCATTGAATTAAGTTTTAGCCGATGAAAAATTATTTAGATTGTTTACGAATTATGTACCCTAAATACTTAAAGATAACTGTTATTTCGTCAATGTAGTTCACTGAATTAAAGTTGTGTAGATGCTTAATTATGCATTCTTTCATGTATTCCTGATTTAATTACATCAGGGTTTTAAATTTTGTGTAACTTTGAAAAAAGACGCAGGCCTTATCGAATTTTCTGGCATGTTATCAGTTTTCCAACCGAATGGGAAGCAAAAAAAATATTTTACTATTTTTACAGATTTTGGCTTGCAAATGTATCTTACACTAAATGTTTTGGAAGGAAGTCAAATTATTAAATAGTTGTAGAATTTATAGTTATTCAAATAATAAGTTCTTTTACTAAAAATGACTTATATTTTTTTGAAGTCTAAAACCATTATTATTTGGAAGAGTATGAAGTACTTGTAGTCTGAAAATGCAAAACAAAGTAAATTAAAATAATTTTCAATTTAGCAATATTTTATTTCTTCATTTGTTTTAACAAGTTGATGCACTCTTGTAGACTGAAAATGTAAAACAAAACAGTATATAAAAATGATTTTGAATTTCCCAATTCGTTTCATTTGTTTTTAAGAAGTTGATGTATTGTCACACAGCAAAAATATATTTAAACTAATAATGATAATACCACGAATGTTTGCATATGGAAAGTTAGTATATAAATTTCAAATTATTCACAGTATTACATGATATTCATTGCGGTCACAGAGCGTATTTGTTTGTACTTCATATCGTTTACGGACACTTGATCAGCAAAACAAAATAATCTGCATAGTTAAAAAATTCGCAAAGTAAGAACTTCCTTTCAATAGATATATATAAACTTGTTTTACAGTACAAATTTAATTGTTGCCAAAATACAAAATATAGGAACAAATTTATTTTAAATGAGAAAGCATAAAAGAAGGGAATTAAATCAACAAACGCCATTAGGTGTGTGATTATTTTTATTCTCTTACCAATAACAATCAAAGAAACTAATTTACGTATATCTCGTCCTATATTATTACTAACGGAGCAACTGTAAAAGCCTTCGTCACTTTTTTTGATATTTGATAAAATGAATGTTCCATTTTCAAATGTTTGTATCCGATCACTTTCATTTTCGAAGACATCTTTATTCTCTTGATCTGAAAATATAAAAATGAATAAAAAATTTTTAAAAAAATATTAGCAATAATATAAATTATGTATAACCACAACATGAATTTGTGAACATAAAAACAAGGAAATAAACATAGTAATTTCCATTTATGGTTTTCATTAACAAAGAAGTCTTTCAGACATTCTAAAACACTCCAGCATATAATTTCTCATATATTTGAAGGATGCAAATCACCGTTTACTTTGTGGAAATGAGAGGAGCTCCGAACGATGGATCTTGGATGAGAAAATAAAATTCAGTGTACTCTTTCTCACAACTTAACACGAGAGTTTCGAATTACCGGCTCGATTTGTTGATTATTACATAGTACGGCATAATTCCTTTCAATTTAATTTCAGATACTTAATTAGAGTGTTTAAAATTTAATATAAATTATTCCGCATTAGTACTAGACAGGAAAAATTACAAAAATAAAATTGTACGTACTATTTAGTTGTAACATAGAGCAAAAAAAATTATATAAATCAGAAGCGATGAGGGCTGCTTACTTGGAGTTGCAATAAATGATTTAATCCATTCAATAACGTTTAAATTAAAAAAATTAAGAAGTTAAAAATATTTATAGCCTTGTGTTTCCACTACATTTTGCATCTCCATTTTTTATAAACTTATGTAAGTGTTAAGTGTTATGGTTAATCGCTTGATAAGGACCTGTTTGTGGGGCTCAAAATTCAAAAATTTGAACTATTTTATGTTTCATATGCCCTTAAGAAAGAATTATTAATTAATTCATTAATATAGAGATTAACAGCGATCTTAATGATTGCAGACAAGCTGACTGAGAGTGGTTATTGAGATTTAATCCATTGCAGCAGCGTTTCTCAAGTAAAGTTTCTGAAGTTCTTTTGTAAAGTGTAGACCACTTTTATAAATTGAAATGTTCTGCAGATAGCCTTACTCTTGATCCCTTTGAAAGCAATTTTAAAGTAATTCAAGCAATTATTGAATACAGGGTTTGATTTATTTTGTATAATTTTTTTCCTTAATTGAAGTTTGTTTGCCTTTTTTTTTGCAGACTGTTATGCAAATGCCAAAACACAAATTAAATAAAAAGAAATTTTTCCAGTATCCGATGATTATCATACACAAACATTGAATCTAAAAATTAAATCTATTTTAAAGGTACTGCACACAGAAATCTGCAAGTTATAAATATTGATATGAGGGGCCTCAGCTCGGTAAAATGAGAATAATTAATGCAATGAACTCACAGAGAATGTTTTAGTTTCTCTTTAAAGTCTGTAAATTATTAGAAAATCAAATTGATTTTTAGAAAACCTCAAATTATCTAAAATCTGAAGAGAATTCTCGGACTTGAACCAAAAATTTAAAGTATTCCTACAAATAAAGGGAATGATGATAACCTAATGCCCGTAGACACTATGTAGAAATTAAAAAGCACAATATTTAAAAGTCATCCTCATATTAAAACTGTATTTTTATCCTAAAATGCCACTAGAATATGAGCTTTTATAAGCGTTGCATGCTGCAGCAAAATTGATTCTAATTATTCATTAGCTTTCTTAAAGAGTGACATATCTGTACATTGCTATTAAGTGCGAATTTTAACACAATTAGCTCGTTGATATTTAAATCTATTGTCAAGAAATATATTCAAGAGAAGTTACCAAGCTTTATAATGAATGCTGAATGGTGCCTGGTGTTAAGAATATAAAGACTAAAATATGATTTTAGGGGGTTATAAATTATTATTGGAGAATATTCATATTTTATTAAATCCTTCTACTTAACATAATTACTTGTACATACATATTGCTTCTTGTATAAGAATATTTAATTACGTGAACTAAATCATTGCATCCATGAATATTTGGTACATTTTCATTATCCGCCTCATTCTCTCGCCGATTGATAACTTTGTGAATCAACGAAGACCGTTTATTTCGATATTTTGCCTCTTCAAAGGGACTGCTCTAACAAGTGACGGAGAGTGGAGACTTCTGGTGGCTATTAGAGGTTAGCAGATATTGTATTCGCCGTCCCATCAGGAGTTTATTGCAACAAAAAGAATTTTCACATGGCCAGACAAGGGCTGAGAGTACATAAGAGATGCATTACAGATGACGTTTTTCCAGCACATAATGAAAAGTTTCGTCTTAAGCGTGTTTTCTAACTAAAAATATAATTTTAGAGCATAATATTGTTATAACATAATGCTAATTAAACTAAAATTATTATTAGAAACAAACTAAAGCTAA